CTTCTTACGCTCATAAAACACCATTTGGGTAAGTTATTCATAGCTTTGTAAATTGCTCTTCAATAATGTATGGGATATTAAAGTTGCTGTAATACGTAGAATAGTTAGTAGATGCTATATAATGGATCCTTTGAGCTTATGAAAGCAAAGAGGCTATCAGTGAGAAGAGAAAACATGTTTTTATAGTTTTCTGCTTTGTGTCTGAGGTTCACCAACAATTATTTTTGTTTTGTTTCATTTTTTTATAAGAAGACAGTAGAAAAGGAACCACCTTACTTGATCTGTTTACTGAATCAACAGGTTACAGATTCCCCTAACTCTGTTTAATTGAATTAAGCTACTTATTTTTAAAATGAAGGATAAAATTGATCTCATCTCTGTGTCTAGATAACTCTCCGCATTTCAGATTCTTTCATAATTAAATCCACACATTTCGACCTTCACTTAGCAGTTCTGTGTCTGAGGCTCAGCCTTCATCTCTCCTCTGTCACCCCCCTAGGGATCCCCGGTGTTTTGTTGGCTTGATCTCATCTCCCAGACCCCAGTCCACCGTCTCCGGGAATTCTAACACACTCTGCTGCCCAGGAGAACAAATAACCTGCTTCCTCACCAGTGAAATTTGCAGATAAAATAATGTTATGTTTGGAATTTACCTGAAAATAGTGTGAAGATGGCATGGCCTGCTGAAGGGGTATAGATCAGGCACAAATTAATCAGTGTTCAACTTGCATTGTGGGTCCCTGGACGCCGTTCTATTTTTGAATACGTTTAAAATTTTATCTAATAAAAAGATTTTTTTGAGGCTCCAAAGTTTTTTGACAAGCTCTACATCTCTACAATTCTATGTTCAATAAATGTTGTATTCAATTAGCAGTCAACTATATATTCCCTTGTGATACCTCTTGTCATTTTATTATTTTTTGTTCATATTTCATACGAGCGTGGTCTATTTCTTTGACGACACTGTGACTTTTCTTATACAATGGCTTAATTTTGGTATGATTGGATTTTCTCTCTTGCATCAAGTAGATAATCAGTAAATATTTAACTGATAAATGAAAGATTCAAGGGGCCAGAGTCAAACATGAGTTAAGGTGAGTGAAAGATATAAAATGAGATTTAATTTGAAAAATAACCTAAAACATTTAGAGATTAATAATGATGCACATCACTTACAAATTACTACAAATGTTAAATTAAAACTTCTCTGGAAATACATATAGCTAATAAA